TTCAAAGTTAGAAGTACTCCCAATGCAACTTACACATTCTTTAATTTAGAAAAACAGTTAGAAGAATAACATCCACTTGCTTAGACGGTTGAAGTCCAACAGCATTCAAGAAGCTCAGCACTATCCAGGACAAAATAGCCCACTTGATCAACATCCCTTCTACCCAATAAACATTCACTGCCTCCAACAACAATACATAATAGCAGTTACGTTTTCCATCTACAAGATGAACTGCAGAAACTTGCCAAGATGCCTTTGACAGCACCTTCCAAACCCACCATCCTGACAGTGCAGAATAAGGGCATCAAATGCATGGAAACAACAGCATCCTCCAAGTCATACAGTATCCTGTCTTAGAAATATATCATGGTTTCTACTGTTGCTGTGTCAAATTCCTGGATCTCCTTTCAACTGCACAATAGATGTAGGCATGCTAAATGGACTGCAGCTGTTCAAGAAGGCAGCTCACCACCACTTTCTCAAGATCAGAGTCAGGAGTGCCTACATCCTACAAATGATTAAAAATGAGAGATTTTACAGAGGGGTGAGGTGGGCTCGGAGAGATAATCGAAGACTTAAGGGAGATAACCAAACTGCTGTTGAAAAGAGCTGCTCCATATTTTTGTGGAGGTATTGTGTGTTGGGAAAGACAAGGCATGAACATGTAGAAAGAGACATCTAGATGAAGAGATCATGATGCCTGAATGATAGGTCATCCGTGAAAACCTGACAGCAGGATAGACTGTTCAGATGACCAGAAATTAAAAAAAAAGATAATAAGGCATGTTATAATTAAATTGAAAGAGGAACAAGCATAGACCAGAAATGAGGGAATGATTGGATGAGAGAAAATTCAGCTGTGTGTTTTGGTAAAGGTTAGAATTAAACCTATTAAAATGGTCAGTCCTCATTTATAATGATTTCTAATGGAAGAAAAAATTATAAACCCAGTGAGAATATATGCACAGCTTGAACCCATTTGAAAATGATACTGATTGTGACTTTACAAGTGCTGGATACAACAGTTTACTGAAGTGATAATTAAAACTAAAAATATGTTGCAGCTGTTACACTTTACTCATGTTGCATAGAAATATCTTAAACACTGGAAAATGAAAAGATTAGCTGCATGCAGCATACTTTGAAGAGATCTGTTTTCAGACTCAGCAGCTCAGGCAGCATCTGTTTTCGTGCCAGTTTATCAACCTGAATTATTTGGCTGGATTTGTATAGCGCTGGGGAGAGCTGGTGGAATAGACAAGATGATGGCTATGACTCGATTCCAGCATGAAAGGCAGAGCCTGATATAGGTGTATGAGGCACCATGGGTGTGGGTGGAAGGGAATGGTTTGGTATGGGGGTGAGGATCTTAGATGGTGCCTGGGAAATGTGTAGGCGTGAGGGGTTGCGTTGGATAGACAGCTGTATGTCTTTAATTATAACCGGGATGCATTGCCTCAGTAGGCATTTAATAAGCTCAGTTTGGCACTTGGAAGCCCCTGGGGCTAAATCCTAACTCCTTCCTAAGTCAGCTGACAATGGCCCCAGCAAGGAACCCGCTAACCCCTGTTCTGAGAATTCCATACTGGCAGGCACACTTTCCCAAGATGGGCACCAAACTTGGGAATTTTCTCAACATCCACCTCAGAGATGAAAATTCCGTCCATTAACACTATTTGTCTTCTCAGATGATGCCTGACGTGCTGAATATTTCTAACGTTTTCTGTTTTTACTTCAGATTTCTAGCATCTGCAGTAATGTCCTTCCAATCATCATTCATTCATCAGTAGTCCCTTGCCGACAAGGATGACTCTTCCACTTTCAGAGTGAGATTGTAGGCAGCTGTACAGACCAATATGGCTACTGCAGGCTCTCTTAGACTTGGGCAGGTGGCAGTGACGGGAAAGAGTGAGTGGGGCATTGATGTGGCAGCGCGCTCCTTACGCTGTTTTCACTTGCCTTCTGGTTTTTCCTGGCTGCAAGTCTTGAGGTGCCCAACACCTTCCCGGATGCTCCTCCTCCACTTTGGATAGTCTTGGGCCAGTGATTCCCAAGAGTCTGTGGGAATGTCACACTTCGCCAGTGAAGCCTTGAGGGTATCACTGTAGCATTCCTTATTCCACCTGGGGCTCGTCTGGCATTTTGGAGCTGGGAGTAGAGCACCTTTTTGGGGATTCTTGTATCAGTCATGAGAACGATGTGCCCAGCTGGTTGTAGCCGATCAAGGGTGGTCAATGCCTCAGTGTTGGAGATGTTGGCCTTGTCGAGGATGCTAGTGTTGTTCCGTCTTTCTTCCCAGCGGACTTGCAGGACCTTGCATAGGCAGCGTTGGTGGTACAGGTCCAGTGCCTTGAAGTGTCTGCTGCAGACAGTCCACATCTCAAAGCCATATAGGAGGGCAGGACCCACCACAGCTCTGTAAATCATGAACTTGGTGTCAGATTTGATGTTGTTTTCCTCGAGTAGTGATCACGAAAAAGACGTTAACTTCGCATGTTCTGATCCACTGCTTGTTAACTTGCATCTGTGGTAAATTAAGACATCCAATCAGATGTTTGGTTGAATTATTTAAACTTACTGCTGTAAGGGATGGAAATCAGAAACTTGACCTCAACAAATGAAGGTAACTGATACCTGGAGAAGGAAAAGAAGAATAATTTGCTTGAGAAGCCATTTTCAAAAGCTTGAATGATTTGAATCAGTCAAATTTTAATCATATGCAAACAAATAATGACATTCTGTCATTTAATCCAATTGTGATGTAAAATCCTGGCTGTCATTGCACAAAGAGAAAACACAATTTCTGAAGTGCTAAGAGATTCAAACATAGCACCAACCTAGCACTAAGGCTGGTGAGAATTCCAGTTCTAGTTTCCCTGGCCCAAGTGATTGTGTTTATTTTCAGCTCATACACTGTAATGCTAAAAGTAGTGTCAATGTTACAATCATAAAACCAATCGAAGTTCAGAATAGCTTTAAGGCAGTACCATTAGTTCTGAAATTCCATAGCTTTTGACCAGTCTCCTGCTGTAACTCTGTTTTCAGCTACTTCTGAAATATCTTGAAGCGAAATATCGATCAAAAACTATTACAAAATTATTAAATGTAATCTGCTTCTCATTGATCTGGTGTTAATTTAACATGATCCCATATAGTGGAGAAGTGTGCTGACTTGTTTTGCATTTAATTTGGTGTCCAGTGTTGAAGCTGTTTGAAATCTTAGGAATTGGGCTTTCCACATTTGCCAATTTGCTGATCTATCGAATGGATCTGAAAGTTTGAGTTTCTTTGAGGGAAAGAATAGTACTGGTAAATATAGTTGCATTCACTAATTGTTGATACTCACTTGAAGTTGTTCATTATTTTCTTAATTTAGAAGATGATTGTTAGCAATTTTTTCTCCTTCTAATCAATACATTTTGTTGCCTCGTATTCTTTGTTGATCAAATTTGCTGTTAAATTCTTGTAAAGCTTGATGTCACACTAAAACTGTAAGCTGCTGTTTCAATTTAAAGTTCACTTTTCTTTTATCAATGTGACAACTTCATGGGAGTAAATGAAGACATTCTTTTTCCAAGATGGCTGAATTATGTCCCTAAGATATATGAGTAGGACTTTCTCAAAATGGCTACACTCAAGAAAATTTGTCGATGTTTTTGACTGTATCAAAGATGGCTGCCAGGACATTATTCATGTTTTGTGCATCCATGGTATTTTTGTGCTGATTTTGACACAATGTGATCATTAATTGCTCTCTTTATGTGTCTTTCTTTTGTATTCTAATGATAAAATTGGTAAAACTGCTTAGTTGTTGAATAAAACTTTGAATTAGTCGTAAAAACCCATTGAAATGTTAAAGCTGTCATCAACTTCATTGTTAGGGCTGTGATACTTTGAGTTGCATTTTTTCTTTCTTCCATCAATTTTTGTTCAAGCTTGTAGCTGAAGAATTATCTCAACTTACTGATGTTAACTTTGTCATTGAATAAATGGTTCTAAAATTTGTGAACTGATTGTGAGAAGTCTTAACACTACTTTAGCTTTCCAGATGGAAACAAAATATTTTGGTCTTTCTCTTTGGAAGATCAAATCAGCTTTGTGAATACAGTAATCAGCCTTGTTTTGTGGGATCTCAATTTCTTCCAAAGAATTTTTTCCCTTTCAATAAAAACAGAAAGTTCTGGAACATCTGTAGAGAGAGAAACAGATGTAACATTTTGATTCTAAGATTGACTTTTTTAAGAGCAGGTGGTTACAACATTTTCCATTTTCTTTAATTTCAGATTTCCAGCATTAGCTGCATTTTGCTTTAAATTTTGATTTAATTCCACCCCCCTCACTTAGATTCTAATTATTTTACAGTTTGTGCTGATTCTGCAAAGACTTGCTTCCACTATTACTGTTTGCAAAATGATTTTTGAGACTTTGTGTTCAGGTGGTTCCTGTGAAAGAGTTTCCTGTTCAGAGATATTTCCTTCATAGCAATTGTGCAGTTCTGTGGCTTTTCATTGCCACGGAAAGGCTGCCAACATCATCATGGACCTCTCCCACCCTGGTAATGCTCTCGTCCAACCTCTTCCGTCAGGCAGAGGATACTGAAGCTTGAACACATGCACCAACAGGTTCAAGAACAGCTTCTTCCCTGCAGTTATTAGACAGCTGAATGGACCTCACTGACTTCAAATAATGATGATCTTGATTTGTGCACCTCCTGTGCAGCTGTAACCTTGTATGCCTCATCCTTTCTAAGTACATTATGATCTGTATGTGTTTGTTTGCTATGATCTGTCTGTACTGCTTGCAAAACAAAGCTTTTCACTGTATTTAGGTACATGTGACTACAATAAATCAAATCAAATCAAATCAAATTTCTGGCTGCTAATTGGTCTTAAACCTATATCAATGATTTCTTCAAAGAATAATTTTTTGAAATCTTTACTTCTCCAGATGTCCTCAGGTCTATTTCTGGATCTTAACTGGTGACATTATTTTCTCCACAGTTGTATGCCATAGCTGGCATCTTCATTTATCATGTGGTTTGCTTCCATATTGTGAATTTGACTTCAAGACTGTTTGAGGAGAGGATAAACTTAAAGACTACCTTCAAGCTGAGATCTCAAAGTAATGATATCATATATCAATACAAAATAGTGCTACACATTATATGGATAGATGTAGCAGGCTCTGACCAGCAATTACCTTAGACAAGAACTAATCTATCCTCTTAGATAACAAGGTGTAGAGCTGGATGAACACAGCAGGCCAAGCAGCATCAGAGGAGCAGG